GGGGGCAATATGCTGACTCTCTGTAAACCACTTAGAGAGGGCTGAAAGCCCTATGAAGCGGTATATAAGTCTACTGCTATTGCTATTGCTATTGAATGTAAAAGAAAGAATGGCGATAGAGTGAATGGATCTCCACCATTTGATTCATGTGTAAGACTACTCTTTACAAGTCAAACAAAAAGCAACAGTTTCAAGACAATAGAGTCTTCAAAACACCTTTTTTCGGCTCTCACCTTCCTCTCTGTGATTGCTGAAAAATTAGCGATGTGTTTCCTCTTCATTCAGAAGTGGGAAACAAACTCAATAGTATTGTAAGCTCTGAAGTTGGCTTAACACCATTAAAAACTGGAGCACTGTACCCTGATTAGATTAACATGCAAAACCTGGTTCCAAAACCTCCATTTATGATGTGACCTTACTTACTCTGCCCAAATGCCCATCCACAGTGATGTCTAGCCACCAAAAGCAATTACAGCACTGGATACAGGAAGAAGACAGCCATTAATTTCAATACAAATCGCTACTAGCGCTAGAAGTCAGAAAGAAAGGTTGCAGCAGAGAAAATTGCCTACATAATGTCTTACTTGTGTCCTGAAAGTTCACATCATTCCCATTGTATGCATTTTTAAGTTTGTTGGTCATTACTCTTAGTGCCATGATTTGCTGTCTTATGTAGGTATCAGGCCGGGTGATGTCCACATCAACCTCAGGATTGTTTATCTGATTGGTGAGTCCATCATTCATGATCTCAGGTAGATACCTGTACACCAGAATAGAGAATTAAGACACATCTTTGTAATGATTACACTTCGATGGCATTATTCACCGAGACAAGGACATTCATCCAGGACTTATACACATTCATCTTTTGTGATAAATATGCTTATAGGACCATTCATTCATTCCTTGGTGTCTTATGTTTCAGGGAGGGATGTCTTCCTAGAATGGATGCAAACAAATAGTTTCCTTTTCCCAAAAAATAATAAAACACCACTGTATTTCCTGAGTAACCATGGCTCAAAATTTGAAAATTCCTAAACGCCCTATTCTACCGAGCGAGATAGATGGGAGACAGTATTTTCATGAATTCCTGTTTATGTTTTAAAGAAATGATTTACCTTTATTTATACTGGAATGGGTTTCTACTGGTTTGCCCTGGATTCGGAGAAATGGTAGTGGCTGCGACAGGAGGCTCCGCCCACTCTCCTGAATGCTTCTGTGCATGCGCAGAAGCATCGCGCGCGCACGAGCGAACTGGTAGTAAAATAAATTGAAACCTACCACTGGGTGTAATGTATTCACATTGTTGACTTTGCACAAAAGAACCACATGATTCTATACTAAAAATTGGCATGACTTACTTCTGTGCTCTTCTTTACATTCTTTTGTTGGAATAACCAGGATTTAAAAGCTGTAGGTTTTATTAAGAGCAGGTAAATGAAACTTTGGTCCCACTGAAATAAATGAACCTTGTGTATATATTTGAGAGCTACTGATTTCAATAAGAATTAAGTACATACATTTGGAAAATAATTCTCTAGTCAATGGAACAACATCTGATTTAGAGGACAAATCAAACGAAAATAACATCCTCTTTTTTTCTATATCTATGACCAGTTCCTAATATAATAACCAAAAATCCAAACGATCCATGACAGTGATTTGGCACAACATATGCCACGAGGGACTGTGAATTTGAAGAAATGAATCTAATCAGGAAAAGCCCTAAAAGTATATCTCCCAATGGATATGTGTGTGTGTGTGTGTGTGTGTGTGTGTTAAAGCCATCAAAAAAGTGATTAGAATTACAGAATTAGGAAATAAAAGAGTTGGAAAAGAACCTTAGAGGTCTTCTAGTCCAACCCCCTGCTCAAGCAGGAGACTTTATAGAATCCACTCCAGGCAAATGGAAGGACATTAAATGTTTTTCCTCCCATATTTCCTCTATGTCCAGACAACCTTGCCTGATTGTATTGGAGATTTTGACAATAAATCCTCTTAAGCTTGGTTATTGGACTTCCAATTTGAATATTTAAAAAAAGCGTTGGAGTATTTTTATATATTTACAATGAGGAAGGATACAAATGCTAATTCTTGCCAAACATAAACAAAGGAATATATCATGTAGCAAAATCTATGTAAAGGAAAACAATATATTTTCTGTACAGAAAAACACACATATTGGAAAGATAAAACGCCCATTGTTTAGCTTCAGATAAAGAAACACCTGCCTAATCATAAATAAGGAAGTTTGTCGTAACTTTTAAGATAATCTGTTTTAACAGAATACAAAAGGAAAGTGTTCATCTTGATAGAGCATAAACTGTCGTAATAATACATTCCATTCTACTGATAACAACTGGTGAACATTCTAGACTTTGGGCCCCTATTAAAAAAGGAAACAAAGAGAAACGCAGAGTGACCACCTGCCCAAAAACTTGATAGTTCTGGGTGAAGAGACATATTTTGACTTTCCGTTGATCATCTGGTGATTTTTAATTATAATCCTAGCTTGGGCCAGGAACAGAGAAAACAAAGGAGTTTAAAACTTCTGACAAAAGAAAAGGAGAAAAAGGTGCATAGGCTAATTAAATAGATCACATTAATACTCTTGCATTAATAAGAGAATATTGTTAGTTAACCAGGAAACTGTTTCTAACATCATTTTTGACGAACTCTTAGCTAATCTATGAAAAGACTGGACTTCCCTGTGAATATGCGGATTCACAGGTGTGTTGGGCTGTTGAGTGTATTTAGGTTGCAGGATGCATGGAAATTGTTAGAAAGTTAACAGGTTTATCAAGACCATTGGATTTGCACACATTAAAATGGGGTCTATAACAATTCGCCATGGCCAACTTGCCATGGCCAACACACCATGGCCAACTTGCCATGGCCAACTCACCACGGCCAACTTGCCTTGGCCAACTCACCACAGCCAACTTGCCATGGCCAACTCACCACGGCCAACTTGCCATGGCCAACTCACCACAGTCAACTTGCCATAGCCAACTTGCCATGGCCAACTCACTACAGTCAACTTGCCATGGCCAACTTGCCATGGCTAACTCTCTTCAGGATAGTTCGCCATAGCCACCTTGCAGCAAGACAACTCGCTGTGGGACAAGAGTTACACTAATATTAAAAAAAATAGTGAAATAGAATTATTAAAGAAAGGATGCAGAAGGAGGGACAGGATGAAATGTGAATGGCAAAAATTTAAATATTTTTTAATTTATTTTAAATAATTACATAGAAATGGTAAATTGTCCCTCAGCGAGTTGAGCTACCGGTGAGTTGGCCATGGCAAGTTGGCCATCGTGAATTGTCCCATTAGATTTAAAATATGCTCTAGAATGCACCGAGGCTCGGTGTTGGGCATGAAGATATCATCAGAAATTGAAAAATGATTAATAACCGAGCAGAATCCAAGACCAATACTTTCTAGGATTACTCACAATTGATGATGTTTTTATAGCAAAAGTAAAAAATGACTAGTGATCCATAGATCCAAATTGTTAAGTGCATTCTTCAAAAATGCACATAGATTTATAGGGGGGGGGGGAAGTATCGAGAAGCTTCATCTTCTCTTGGTATCTTTTTTAACAACCCTTTCTGTCTGACATGGGTTAAAGTAACAAATTTGGCAAGCCTTTTCAGCATAGGCTTATAGTAAACTTTTCATTTTACCCTTCATTCACACGTACAAACACATATGCCCACAGAGGAATTTAACCCAACATGTTTTTTAAAAGATGTAAGTTATAAGTTCTAAGGAGATGTAAGCCGTCTAGAGTTGTAAGATGTAAGCCGCCTTGATAGTGAGATGGGTGGTATATATATATTTAATAAATACAACATGTATGTTTTTTAAACAAATCATATAAAGTTATAAACTTATTATGGTAATCGGCATAGTTTTTTACACTAATGCACAAATCCAAGAAGCTGGAATTTCTGGCATTTGCACCATGTTTCCCAGGTCTTATATTAATTTTTGCTCCAAATGACGCATTAGGGCTTATTTTCTGGTTAGATCTTATATTTGGGGAAATACGGTACTATTTTGGGGATAGGGCTTATATTACGAGCATCCAGAAAAATCATGCTAGGACTTGTTCTCCAGTTGGGTCTTATTTTCAGGAAAATTCCAGTTGCAATGGAGAGAGATAGCTTTCATTAGTTATGGACAAAGAATGCCAGTATTCCTTGTGTTCAATTGACAAAGTGTTGCAAAGCCTTCTAGACACCTACATTGCGAGTTTCATCTGTGAATATTGTTTTTATTGTTTTTCTTTCTCACTTACTTAGCTTTGGTGTGTCCATTCCAACAATCCTCTTCATTAGACATGCCAGCAGTCACTGTTTCTTCCTTGCAGATGGTGTAGGGTAATGTAGACCAGAACTTTTTGGAAAGCTTTAGTTTTTCTTTAATGTCAATTACCTAATCACAAGACAAAGGGAAGGTCTTTGGTTAAAAAAAAGCCTAGTAAAGCCTGTTTCTGAAAAGAATATTCAAAGAATTCAATAAATATGGCATATGTACTAGGATCAGGGTCAAGCTACAGGATAAAGGCCTGCGTCTATGTGGGCTGGGATCCTTGAAGGACATATCCCAGGGGCCAAGCTGCAACAACCCAGGATATGCTAGCTTGGCTGGATCCGGGCTGATGGAGAATCATAGGCTTTAAAATATGGGAATATTAGCAAACACTCATGCACAGGCAGCTTGTGCAAGCCGAGTGGTGTCTCCTTGCATATGAGCCCCATCCTTTTTCATTTCATTTTTTCATTTTATTTGTCTTGTATGCCGCCCACTCCCGGAGGACTCCAGGCGGCTCACAACAGACAAGGGAAAGGGGATAAATAGACAAGACAAC